ACAAATATATCATGCTTTCACTACATAGACAGCTGTAATCCCACCGTTCGGGTCGTCTGCGGTGACGAGTATTGTGCATGCAACTGATCATCGCCTTTACATTCATTCATAAAGGACGAATAGGATCTTATTTCATTATTTTTATTTACTTATGATGAGTTATAGCGTTGGTAAGGCCGTAATTATCGCGTTGCCTGCAAAACCGACTATGCAGAGATTCAGACCTGGTTTTTTCGTCGAAACGCCCGCTGTATTGATAGATAGGTTGTCATGTCCTGATGAATAGCATAATGTGTTGCATTAGTATCTTTAGTAGTACCTTCATTTATTAGATAGTACGATTCGTCCGGTGATAATAATAATAATATGTACCGTGATATCCTCAAGGAAGGTTTCTAAGAAACATTGAGGTAAAGATTGATAGGCTAGATATTCAGTACTCAAGGTAGTGTTGAGAATAGAAGTTGATTCATGTTAGCAGAACGTGTCGTCGTTTTGCTCGTCGACATCGTCGTCCAGCAGTGAAAAATGTGCAGCTGGTGAAGCGCAGTCAAAGCGCCGAGATCCCATGCCGCTGACGTAAGTAGGCTTGTCTCCGCTTTTCAACCTTCACCCCAAAAATTCAAAATGTGGAATCAAACACCTCTATAAGGAAGCATCTTATTCGTGAATGTTTACAGAGGGAGAAACAAAAACATGATTCCGATGCTTTATATGTATTGTCAAAGGATTATTTATGTAAAGGTAAGATGTTGTTATTCTTAAGGATTGTTTCCCCAAGCTTAAATACATTTTCCAAATTAATTTAGAACTATCTATGTACTATAACGTACGAACGCTGAGAAATGCTGTGCGGCGATTTATTAATGCCGCGACTCCGAATCGTGAATAAGAAGTCCGTATCCCTAACAATATGGTCCTGGCCGTCTGTGTTAGAGGGGCTGTTTGAACTCAATGCGTCCAATTGGCTTTCCAGACGGGGAATAAGGCAACAAGTATAAAATCAATTTTGTTGGTTATCAGAGCAAGGTCGGGTTGGCCGGTCCGAGTCGTCTGATATATACTTTGTTTGTCTCCGTTTTCAACGAAGACCCAGGCTCAGATGGGATTTTAATGTATTGTCTCGTATGCTCATGATACAATTATTGGTTAGAAAATACTGAAACTTTTGTTTAAAGTAGCCAATCGATAATAAAGTTTGTATCTTTCCTGGGGGTTTATGACGGCAAAATGGATGCATTATGCCACGAAGGAGTCCTAACAAACTCAAATTCAAGCCGAACTGCGCACACCAGTGACGACAGATCTTTGATCAGCGCTCGAAAATTCGCCGGATAATAACACTCAAGTTTACGCAGTCATTTAAACCAACTTCTCCCCTGACTAACCCGTTCTTGCTCTCCGCACTACCATTTCTACCCGGTACCAATGAGTGATATCGAACGCTTGGTTAATGAGATATCTGTTGATTATCTTGCTTCCATGATTTCTCTTTTCTCCTATGTACCGAAATTTAAGGGGAACAGGATGTCCACTCATAATCTGGATTCTGACATCTTGATTGTCATTTTCTCCTTTCTATCATCCTCGGATCTGACTTCAGTGGCGTTGGTCAACAAATCGTTCAATGCTATTGCTGTTCCACGACTATACCATACGATCTATTTTCGAGACTCTGGTTTGCAAAAATGGCCTAACGTAAATACATACACCTGCAAATATGTAGAGGGGGAACTCCTCTGATTTTTTACTTTGTCCAGCTACCATCACCCTTTGAGACGATCTTAAAGCGTCCGGAATTAGCGATACATGTTCGATGTTGTGGTATGAGCATTATGTTTCTGCCTACTGATGAGCTCATTTGCCTAATTATCACAGAGATATCCTCGCTTCCCCGTCCTCCCATGGGGAATCGACTGATCTCCAAGTTTATGAATAGTTGCATTGAAAGCCTTTCGACATTATGCTCGAATATTCACACATTTAGATTCATTGTTCATCATCCTGCGTTTATATCTATTCTACGAGGGAAGAAACGATTATCCAAACTTCAGCTTAGTCTTGGTTTGGATGATATCACGGAATCAGATGCGGAAATGTTGAGCCAGATAACAGGTTTACACACTTTGGATCTTCATCAGGTCCCTCTTGGCCTTTGTCGAAGATTACCACAATGGATTTCTAATATATCTGATACGTTGACCACGTTTAGGATTCGCGTGGGTCACTTACTATCTATCAATTTTAAAATAAATACATACATAGCCTCCATCTTAGACATCTCAACATCTCGATGAAGCTTTATTCATCGAAATGGTAAAGTGCTTATCGCCTCAATTACGCAGTCTAGGGATATACAACTGCACATCTTTTCGATTAGGGCCTAAGTCGCCTGTCCCTGTTGGAAAAACTCGCTTTCCCAATGGACGAATCTGTAAGTCTTACCTTGCTCTTATACCATCATGAACTAACTTTTTGTTTAAAAAAAAATGAATAGACATTAAGAATCCCCCACTTTCCTAAACACAATCTTCCTAATCTTCATATTGTCGGCATCAGTTCTATTCCCAATTGGTCAGAAGAGTCAACATCAGGTCCAAGGCCAGGACTCTTAGAACCTTTTTTCAATAGCATCTCCGATAGCCCGGTATCTTCAATTGCCTGCGGATTCGCCAATTACGCCGATTTTGTTCCTGATGAGACCATATCCCAGATAGTCCGGCACTTTAGTTTAACTTTGCAGAGACTCAGCTTTACCAACGCTGATATTAGTGAAAAAGGCTTGACAGAATTAGCACAATTTTGTAAGAATTTAAAACAATTAACCATAACTCCCTCGCCGGTTGGAAGTCCTACAGTGCGTCTCTTCAAATTTGTGTCTCAGAACCATAACTTTCCCCCGACGTTTCACTATAGGCTAGGTTAACCGGATCGCTGTCTCATAGTTCTAGTTTAAAGGTGTTGATTATTCCTCCACGGCGAGATCAGTGGAGTTCTATCCTTCGGTCGGAGGGCTATTGTACGACTTTAAACATCAAAGAATTGTTTCGTTGCGCGCCAAGTATTCAAGTGATGGTTGTGGGAGGAAAGATTTTGATGGTAAGCCTGGATCGCTTCTTAGTTATAATGTCTACACTGGCATACTATGGCAACTCATCATCATTTCACAGCGAGATGCCCGACCCAGTCTAATGAACTCATATGGTCCAGATAACTTTCGTGTTCTGTCTGCTCCTATAAACAGGTTTAACTTGGCTTTTCGGGAGAAATATGGTATTGAAACATTAGGAATGGACTAAACAAATGGGGGGGATACATAGAAAAGTAGTCAATCTTATGTAATTGCGTTGTTGCAAAACTCATTGCGGCGAAATTGCTATCAATGATGTCTTAGGGCCCGGGTAGTGTATTTATTAACAAATATATCATGTTTTTACTACTTAGACTGGTTACTCTCGCTGTTCAGGTGGACTGCGGTGACGAGTATTGTGCATGCAGTCGATCATCGCTTTTGACAGGGTTCCATTCATTCACAAAGGAATAATCGGATCTTATTTTTATTTCCTCGCGAGGAATCTGATTGATTCAAATTGACATACATATGTAGGTCAACCTTCCCCCGCTGATACATCCCGATTCACGGGGGAACTGTATAACCTAGGCGGATGCTAATTACCTCAGTTTCAATCTTATTGGTAGCACGAAAAAGATGGTCAAAGGTGATTGAATTTGATGAATATCAAAATATGTAATAATAATACCCAACTCTAATAAGTAACAGTTACAAATTATTATTCTTTAATTCCACACACCACCAGATAGGCTTTGTAGTCTTTATCCATACCTCCGAATCCGCCAAGTGGTTAGAAGTGGAAATGAGACCATTAAAAGATGATGGCGTATTATCTGAATACCCGCTCCATTATCCCAAGATATACGCAATGAAAAGAATGAATGACTGACTCAAGTTCCATTCTAACCCTCTTGTGGATAGAATTGTTTCATCTATTCCAACAGGAAGAAGACCGCACGTCGGTCCTAAAAGTTCTAAATCAAGATGAAGGGTATGTTCCCCCTTTAGTAAGACCATAGATATCAGATGTAAAAACCTCGACGTATATTAATGAGTTATTCACTGAATCAAGAACCCATCCGATGTTGTCATCTGTAATAGCAAAAATTTGTGGAGGGGTCTTGCGAAGTTTGTGCAGTAATGAAAGTGTATGAATTGTCTGATCTAAACGACCTGATAACCCGCCTAATAGAAGAATTGTGTACTAAGTATACCTAGGTAAGTAATGCTTGATCACAGCGGTTGTTCTAGTTTCTTAACCTGTTGATTTGACTCTTTCTCTAATTCTGACAGACTGGCCAAGCACTTTTGCAGGTCGGTAGTGTATTGATCTGGGTCTCGAATTATTTCAACGCCCTTAGGAAGAACTACCTTTCAGAACAAAGAAGGGTTAGCTGATACTGCGTATGAAAACTAACCTCTTCGAGATAATAGGCGCGAACGTCGTCTCGTAATGAATCCAAGTCGCCTTTAATCAATTCTGGAATGAATCTGGAATCATTTTATATTTGAACACGATCTCTTAATAAAGAATGAATAGCTCATACTTTAATCGATCTTTATCATTGGCCAATGTGTCGTATAGTCTATTGGCACCGCCATCTGCACAACAATGCCACGAAGCTTCGACGATTGAGTATGGGCGATGTTATTTTTTTGATTGTCAATACAAACAACATACAAGCTTTCCACAATCGTTCCAATAACATTCGAGATGTAGGTTGATTAAGAATGATTAATCCGGTCCGCGCAGTATTATCGTCATCTGAATTAGGGTAAAGAAGAAACGGAAGCGTCGTAGGCGGTAGCATTCTCAGGCCTTTGAGCTTTGGAACGAGTCGGTGACGCGGCTTCCTTATGTGATCTCGATAGGGAGGGGCGTTTTGTTGGCTGAATAACAAAACCTATGTGTGTGTGAAACACAACCGCCCGGTTAACTCAGTCGGTAGAGTGTCAGACTTTTACGAGTTTAATCGTAATCTGACAGCCGCGGGTTCGAGCCCCGCATCGGGCTAGTGGTTAATTTTTTTTTTGGTTTTGTTCCTCAAGCCTCAAAGTGTCATGGAATTGGGGTTCTTAAACATAACTAAGTCGAGGCTTCTTTTTACATTTATTCTTGAATTTTTGTTTTCTGAATGAATCAATGGCGCTGCAGCCAGAGACAGCCACCGTGGTTCATCTAACTTGAAGTTTTGCCTCATGCCATAGTCATCCATAAAGTTGAGGTCCTTTCTTTACTGAACGGATGTGTAATATCAACAACTTGGAGGTGACGGATGATGGATGTATGGCATTCTGGGCAATTGTGTCCCATGGTTTCTGGGCGAATGGTGATTGTGGCAATGATGATTCTTCCTCTCCTATCCGAGATGACCAATTGAACTTCGCAAGCTGAAGAACCCTTACCTAAAGAACGCTATGACCCTCCGCTCTAGAAGGAATTATAGTAGACAAAAAAAGGAAAAACCGGGGGTAAGTAACTTCCATTTCATTTCCCTCCTAAACAGAGTCATTTCATCTCGTATTACTAATTCATTCATTTTAGGTGTCCTCACAAGCACCGGTGAACCGAGATAGGACAGCGATTCAATGCCAAATCCTGATGATCCGGGCCTCTCCTCAATAATTAAATCTAAGTCAGCCTTGTCAATTGTCAATTTTTAACGGCATTAGATATCTGTGGCGGGGACATCGCCCTATTGTTGATGATGTCGAAAAACCTATATTATTAACGAAGGAAGAGAACTTGGGTGGCAACACCCCTTACCCTCCTTCCTAAATGCAAATGTCTCAATTTTCTCAACCTCAGACTGTAGATCCGGACTGGCAGTTGCTCGAGCCATACTTTGCTCCTTTGAAGAATACCGAAGGTCTCTCGATACAGGATCTCCGAGCAGGTGTAGCTGGTTTGATACATGCGATGGACGAAGCTATCCCCACACTATGTAAGAGTCTTTATTTTTCTCTTTAGAGGGTGGGTGCTAAATAAAAATATCAATATTTCCCTTCTTAGCGGACGGATTAGATGTACAAGAAAGAGATATCAGTATGGAAGACGGGGCCAGTATAAAATTACGGACTTATGTACCTCACATCCTAAACGAAGAAGAGAAAGATGGCTTTCCTCTCTTATGTTGGCACCTTGGGGGTGGTAAGGAACATTCAATATCTATTTAGTGATTTTTTCAATGTTAACATTTGCATTTGATTTGCGAAGGCTTTTGTACCGGAACTTTAGATGACGATGACAAAAGACTACGACGACTCGCACTGACACTCCGTATCACTTGTACATCAGTGGCGTATCGTCTTGCTCCTGAGTTTGGTTATCCCATTCCCGTAAACGATTCATTTTCTGCTTTGAAATGGGTAATTCCTTCCTATGCACTGTCCACATAATAATTCTTTACCAACTCACAAATTCAAAATTTCTTCACTCTTATAGGCTTTATCGAATACTGAAATACTTTCCGTGAATGCTCACAAGGGTGTTCTCATTGGTGGCTTCTCTGCTGGGGCAAATATTACCTGCGCAGTTGTTCAGAGAGCCTTGAAGGATGATTCGATACGACCTAAAATTAGGGGACAAATTCTCATCAATCCTGCTGTCCTCGCTTCTTCCGCCGTTGTTCCTGATAAGTATGTCATTACTACTTTGGGAGTGTCATGTTTTTTCTCATTGTCAATTTCATTACGTACATACGTGTAGATGGAAAGACCGACTAGCCTCCATCGAGCAACAAGGCGAAGGCCCGATTTTGACGAAAGCACACCTTAATCTTTTCTATAGTATGTCCCAAATCTCATTGATTCTATCTCAAAAAAAAAAAAAACTCCCGATTGATCCTTTTAATTACAGATTTATATCTCGTCACCGATCCTGTCAATCTGTCTAATAATACAGAAGTCAGTCCGTTACTGATACCATCATTCACCGGGAATCCCCCAACGTACATTCAAATATGTGGCTGTGACCCACTACGCGATGAGGGCGTTTTGTATAATGAATTGTTACAAGAAGCCGGTGTGTCGACGAAGGTTCATCTGTGAGTACATATTATATGCAGCCGCATTGACAGAACCATATGCATAATATTAAACCCGAATTATTATATATATTAGATATCCCGGCCTTCCGCATGGATTTCAAACCTTCACCCCAAATTTTCCCAAGTCATGGGCACAGGACAAGGACCTACATGAAGGAGTGGCGTGGCTTTTGAATGGTAATACGATGTCAAGTCGGGATAACAGGAAATGGAAACACGTGCCAGAACTATTCTCAGAGATGACTACTCGTCTCTCGAAATTATTTAAAATTTTATTCTCCTTTGTTCCCGGTAATTACCATACGTAATGCACTTTCTGCCATTTGGCGTAGGTGTTTCTCCGAGATTTATGTAGGAGGGGACCCTATCTATGTAGACGTTGTATTTGTAAGATATTGATTATTATATATATTGGATTCTAGTGTAACAAGAAATGTGTTCATCAATCTATTGAATCTGGTCTTGAGACCCTAGGGTCCTAACATTAAAACATCATTGGTTATTCGTAAAATAAAATCCTGCAACTGACACCGCGTAAATATAAATAGATATCACGCGAGAAATAAATATAAAAAAAAAACATACAAAAATATCTACAATTCTTTTTCTTTTTCTTCTTCCGGTCTTGCCACGGTCGCACGAATTCTCAAAATATCTTGGCGTGATAGGTTAGCTTCTTCACATAGAGATCTAAAGATCGAATCTTCGCGATCGTAAAGGTTTAACGGTGTATCGAATTCTGCAACTTGACCCGCGTCCATAACCAAAACACGATCATAATAAACTTTTGGTTTTATTAGATAACGATAACTGGTACCTTAATGGAAAAGGCAACATACCGATAGTGTTCAAACGATGCGCAACACAAAGTAATGTTGATGATGAAAATTCTCTTTGAATAGTAGCTTGGAGTTTAGAATCCGTCTCCACGTCGACATTACTCGTTGCTTCATCCTAAAAACAAAATTAAAAAGTAGATGAAGATAAAGAATGTTATCACTGACGAGGATAATAATTTTGCTGTTCTTGACCAATGCCCGACAAAGAGCCAACAACTGTCGTTCACCAGCAGAAAAATTACTACCTTCATCTCCCACAGATGCGTCCAGACTAAATTTGGCTTCTGCGGCTGGATCGGACGAACCTATTTGAGGAAGAAGCCATGCTCGTCGTAATGCGGACATTAACTCGGCGTCTGTACGCGATCTTTCGGGATCACTAAGAAGGTATAACGATGAACATGAAGGTTAGCCGAGGATCTCAAATGACAACAACTTACAGATTATCACGTAATGCTCCCAAACTAAATAACGCAATTAATTAGCATTCCGAGCCAATCAATGGAATTAGAGAGAGAAAACGTACAATAATACAGAATCTTGTGGTATAACGGCAAGACGACGACGTAAAACGTCTAGTCCAATTTCACGGCAGTTTACACCATCAATAATAATAGACCCTTGATGAAGCTCGACAATCCTAACAACCAGGTTCAATAAGGTACAATTTTCTTAAAATATATTGGTGATTCATACCTCAACAAAGCCTGTAACAAGGAACTCTTTCCAGCACCCGTACGTCCCACAATCCCAACCTATAACGCATCAAATTTCGTCAAAAATACATCTTCACCAAAAAAACGAAAAAAGCTAACTTTCTCTCCAGGTCTAATATCAAAACTGACATCTTTCAAGACCAAAGGTAGACCCGGTCGATAAGCAAGCTGAACATTCTGGAACGAAACAGCTCCTTGAGAAGGCCAAGATGGAGGTGGATCGTTTTTCGTCTCTGTTTCACCTTCAGGTTCTAATTCACCATACACGGCAACACGTTCGACAGAGTTCATGCTTTGTTCGGCTGATGCGAATAATGTAACCATTGAGGCTAAAAATAAACAATCAGTTGATTGTCGACCGGCTTCCTTTATAAACTGTACAAACATAGAACTTGGGTGACTAAAAAGCTGGTAGTTAGAAACCCTGCACAACTCCAATACAAAGAAAGGAAAACATAAACATACTTGACAAACTATACGTCAAAACGACACCCGTCTTTGAAGGATTGACAGAATTCCTAAATCCAACTGCGAAAAGACCAATACCAAAGATCAAGATATTTCCAAGAAGGTCCAATCGGACACCTAGCCATCTATATATAACAAACAGCGTTATTGTAAAATAAAAGATGCAAGAGACAGGAGCAGACGGACCTTTGTATAGCGATAGTCATATAATACGCTCGGTTTTCAACATCAAGAGCATGCTCGCTCGTTTTAATGAAACGTGCCTTTTATGTCTTCTTTGTTACTACATTCAACTTTCAAATGGAACAAAAATGCTTACTTGTTCCTGATATGCTCTGACGGTAGAAAGGCCAGTCAAAGTTTCTATACGATTATTTGTTAGTCTCTAGTTGTGGAGATTAGAACATGAACATACCGGAATATGATGCGTACAAAGCCGACCGAAGCACGGAATCAAGTCGTTTGGCTTCAATAGAACTCCGTCTGTAAATACGAGTCATTCAACACGATTCTCACACAACAAAAAAACTACCCAACCTATAGAATGCGGAGAAACCCCAATACAATATCGAAAGTGGTGCGAATATAATACCAAGAAGTGGGAAGGTATAAAACACAAGAGCGATCGTTCCAAGTACGGATGCGAATGTACTCAAAAGCTATAAAAAAGTTGTTAAAGAGTGGACTGTCGGGACGAAAGGGGAAATCTATTTCTATTTACCTGGTATAATGCAGAAACCAATTGGGTATCCATTGTATCCTGATCTTTAGAAAGACGGGAGAGCATACGACCTTGTGAAACGGTCAGTCTTACAAGCGATACATATCGTTCAAGTGCTTCCTTACCTATCGGAGTCGTATCAAAGAATGATATAGGAGACCGGATAACACCCTTAAGGGCCATTCTGAAGAGATGGAAACCCGCTCTTAAGGATAAAAGAC